CCATTACCATTGTGGCACTGGTTTCCTTACACTCATTCCTACTCCTTGTAAAGACCAAGTTTGTCGTCTCTGGGTCCTTCGGAGGTCAGTTCAGCTTACTTTTAATTCGACTTGTCTCACGGCGCAACGAAGATATCGGTGGTGCCCTATACGGTCCCTGGATGAGATATACGATATTATCATCGATTGTAATTTCCCAGATCGGGTTCGTCTCTGCATATACAATCTTCGTAGCCGAGAACCTACAGGTGAGTCGTCACCGCGTTTTAGCGTCGTTGCTGAACTCAACCTTGTCCAGGCGTTTGTACTTGGAGTCAGTAAAGGCTCAATGGACTTGCCTGTTATCTACCTTATCCTCGTGCAACTCGTAATTTTCATTCCTCTCGCTCTTGTTCGTAATCTCGCCAAGCTTAGCACAACCGCACTCGTTGCCGATGCGTTTATCCTCGCTGGGCTGTTGTACATATGGGGAAGTGAGTTCTCCTTCATCGGAGAGCGCGGTTTTGCCGAGGTGCAGATGTTTAACCCCAAGGATTTCCCGTTGTTTGTGGGGTGAGTTTCGCTCTTGCTGTGTTGATTAGGTGGACTCAACTCAAGGTCATAGAACTGCTGTGTTTTCCTTTGAGGGTATTGGTTTGGTGAATTTCGCGTCTTTCATACTGGAATGAAGAGATGTTAATGAAGATTTGTGTTAGGTGATTCCTATTACTGATGCCATGCGTGAGCCTCGCAAGTTCCCCAAGGTTCTAACTGGTGTCATGATCACCCTACTCTGTGGGCACCTTTTCATTTTGTCATTCAGTTCAAGCCTTACTGTGCATTCTAACAGTCCTGTTCGGTGGCGCTGGTGCATTGTCGTACCTGACCTTCGGTTCCGAAGTGCAGGCCGTAGTCTTGGTCAACCTCGACCAAACCAGTAAACTCACGCAATCCGTAAGCCTATCTTAGAAGTTTCATCAAACGTATCTGATGCCCATGCCCTCAAAAAACAAAGGTCCAATTCCTGTACTCGCTCGCCATCCTCCTTTCTATACCCCTCCAGTTTTTCCCCGCCGTGCGAATTCTCGAGAATGGACTCTTCGTTCGAAGCGGAAGGCAAGATCCGCGTGTCAAATGGCTGAAGAACCTCTTCCGCTTTGGACTCGTGGCAGTGTCCACCGTGCTTAGCTGGATTGGTGCCGCGGACCTAGACAAGTTCGTCTCCCTCATTGGCAGCCTTGCTTGGTGAGTGGCGCATCAAAACGCGGTCGAGAATAACAATGGAGTGACGGTGATTTCGATTACAGCCTTCCCTTGTGTTTTGTATACCCTGCAATGCTGCACTACAAAGCAGTCGCGAAGACGCCCATGGAGAAGATCGGTGATATTCTTCTCGGCATTTTTGGCATGGCCGCTATGTTCTACACTACATATCAGACTATCAAGGTATTGCCAGGCCGCCCTTTGATGATGTGGAATGTGGTGCTGATATACTTTGCAGCTGATGGCAGAACCTGAGGCAACTGCTGATCTTCCTAGGTCGTCTTGAATGTCGAAAGACCCTGTGTTGGTTGTGATTGATCATTGTAGTTAAGTAATGGACGTGCAGTATGACTGACCTGTGAGGAGACTTTAATAGATCTCCTCCCATCCGCTTAATCCTTCAATGGCACATATTTCTTTCCAATAACGTGTTCTACGTATGCCAGATTGTTATTCCAGCTCTACCTCTTTATAGGCAACTGTGGGAAGCTAATCACTGCAGGGTCCTGTCAGTCACCCACGTCTGGAATGCATTGTCCTAGGTGAAAGTTTTCTTGATCCATGACTGTTTGATGTGCAGACACTGTTGCGTACATAGCCGATGACACTCGAACGGAGGTCTTTGGACTATCTATCTTGAGCAACCGATGAGTACATGCCGCACTTAGGTCGCCCTTTTGTTCACCTGATGTGATAGCAAAGAGCAACTGTGGGCGATAAGGGGGAGTTGCAAGCGACGGAAGTGAGGAAGTCGTGCCGCAGAGTTGCCGCAGAGTACCTTCTTCAGCATGCGCCCCACACGTGTTTACCCCCATTTCTGATCATCATTGTGCAACCGTTTCGGCAATCCTGCGAGTCACGACCCCTCATCGAAAACACGCCGATCACCACATAAATGCCCTTGCAAAGTTGACATTCTTTGCCTTCCCCTCCAGCTGGAGCTCGCTAGACGTGTCTACCGCCACCCTTCACTTCCCCTCCCCTCCAACACTCGAGCCGACGATCTTCTAACACTATTTCACCATCTTTTGTTGTATTATGCCTGTAGCAACTAATGAATCTAGCTCCATTCCCCAGCCGCGTTCCATGGTTCGGCGAAAGCCAGCCCCCAGTATTGTGCTAGACGCACGTTATCCTTGTCCTGACCCCGATGACCCATTTGCTCCTCTCTCAGTGCTTCGCACTAGAACTGCGAGCACCCTCGGTCTTCTTAGCTTCGCTGGTGACTCGACGTCACACCTTCCGATGCTCCCATATACCGGCGGCAGCCCCTTCCCTCCAGATCCATACCAAATCACCCCGCCCACAAGCCCAATCCTCGCTTCTTCATCTTCATCTGCCAAATTCGTGAGGACGTTTAGCACACGAAGCACGTTCGACATTTCCCCAAATTTTCATGATGCTTCCGAGACCGCTCCGAGTCGTTGGTTGCCTTCATCGGATTCACCAAATAACCGCACTTTTGCCACGCCCCAGCGCAGGCGCTCTCGATCGGCCATCTCACGGAAGGAAGTGCGGTCAAGTACATGCTCCGTGTCTCCCGGGACTTCACCGTATGGCCATACAAATTTGCAGGCATATGTTTTAGCCAGCTCCAGACTTCCTTCTCCTCCATATTCTGCTGAGCCTTTTAGTATGCAACAGACAGTTCACGGAAGCGTGCTTTCTCTTGGTACTCCATTAACTCGGCACGATTCAGCCCCAGTGCTGTCTTTGATGGCCACAGCCCACAAGTCCACGTTCCCAGCTGAGCCATTGAACGTGTCTCGTTCTCGTGTTGGGAAGCTAGCGCGACTCCTTCCCAAGCGAACTCGTAGTGGCCTCAGTCTAGCCGAGTTCCCGAGCGAGAACGGAAGCGAAAAGCATCGCCACAAGTTCCCTTTAGCACCCGCCTCCCCCGTTTCTCCTTCTGAGCGCTCATCCAAGGAGAAACACGTTCCGGAGGAGAACATGTTTCGTCCGCGGCGGAAGTCATCGACCCTATTCCCAGTACTGGTTACTGCGAATATGCAGTCCCTTGATGTATCAGATCCATCAACGGGAACGTCTATATATGATTCCCCTGCCTATGAGCTCGGGTATCTGTCCAACCCCAGTAGCACTACCTTGCATTCCCCATCCATCATATCCACTATGCCTCATATTTCCGAGCCGTCTCCTCTTGCTCCGAAGAAACAAAGGCCTCAGACGATGCAGCTTCAGCAGCGAGTCGTTGATTTGACTGAGTCGCTGCAGCACGAGAAACAGGTGATGCGTCCGTCTACGGCTCCTACCAGCTCCGCTCTTGCTTTTGATGAGAACGCCCTTCCAACGAGAAGACAGCTGCTGGAGGCAGCGTCTTGTAATGTCGTGGCTGAGAACGGGTTGAGGGTTCCATTCGGCGACATCTTCCGCGAGCAGAAGACAGTCGTTATCTTTATTAGACACTTTTGGTGAGATCCTTGGTTTGTCTTGGATCCACATGAAGCTTATTATTGTTTCCTACCAGGTGTCCGCTGTGCCAAGACTACATGGCTTCCATTGTCAATACGGTAGATCCTCGAGTACTCAGGCAGTCAGGAATCAATCTTGTCATCATCAGCAATGGCTCGTACAACATGATCAAGTCTTACAGACGTAAGTTTGACACTCTTTGTTTTATATAATACAGGCTCAACGATTCTCCCCAGAGATATTCCGGATGCCCTACGCCGTGTACACTGATCCTTCTTCTCGCCTCTATGGCATCCTCGGCATGACTCTGAAGTCAATCGAGCCAAAAGGAGACAAGCTCCGCAGTAGCTACGTTAGGCATGGCCGCGCGGGAGGTATTGCCATGGTCATCGCTAATGCTCTCCGCGTCGGCATGCCCGTCTGGGAGAAAGGTGGCGATGTTACTCAGCTCGGTGGCGAGTTTGTCCTCGGACCCGGGTAAGTTTATCCATCAACGTTCCACGACGTAACGTGAACTGATCGAATTCGTTGACACAGAATCACTGCATCGTATGCGCACCGCATGCGGACGCGCAGCTCACACGCGCCTATCGTCAGAGTTCTCACAGCCGCGGGCGTGCATGTTTATTCCCCTAGTGAGACGCCGAAAATTGTCATTTCGTCCGATTCCGGTAGGCGGGCATCTCTCGTCCTTGAGGTGGATGAGGAACAATGGATGGATGAACGACGTCGAAGCCTTGCCAGGATCCGCGAGCGGAAACAGGCTCGGAGGTTAGGCGTTAACGTATCTGTCAGCGGCAGCTCGGACTCCGAGACAGAAACGGGAATCAGACGTCGTGTGCCCGATAGGCGACATGCGAGACACATGGCTCGAACTGACAGCATCGCGGAAGAAGAGGAAGAGGTTGCTCGAACTGCGAAGCCCACCAGCAGCCCTCTGCGAGGTAGTCCCGATGTTGACGATTCAAGCGATTCCGCTGAAGACGACACCGACCATTCATCTGTAGATACGCGGACGCTGGCAGGCTCAGACACTGGATCTGAGATGGGTGATGTTGGGTGCAGCAGCAAACCTAGCGCTGTCGAGTTTGTTCATGGTCTTCCTCCACTCATACCGCTCCTTATTTGATTCACAAAGTCATATTTTAAAATGTCTTTCAGATGATGCTTATTCGGAACATAATTCGTTAGCAATAAGGAACGACTATTTCCCTTCATCTGTAATGGTCTGTCTGGAGACTACGTTAACAATGTATCAGCGGTATCAATGTTCAAAGTCTTCTATGAAATATCATCTTTAATGCCACACGTTTGTCCTTGAACAAGCGTTAGTGGTGTACCGGTAACATTGGGTCTTCCCATGGCCTAGCACCGGGTTCGACTCCCGGCTGACGCATTACGTTGTGGCTCGTTACCACATTTTTTGCATAAATGAATCTCTCCTACTGCTCAACCAGTTTTGAATTTTGCCAATGTCCCACGAGGCTCCTTTCTAGCTCAGATTCATGGGAGGCTGCTTTCCCCTCAAATTTTTGCTCGCTGATAAGTAGTACTAGTACACATCCACATGATCTCCAGTACTGACGACTCGCTGGGTAGATTTCTTCCATGTCCGAGTCCTACGATCCTCGCGCGGCAGTCGTACCAGTTCGTCTTTCGACTGATCCTTGTACAGTGTGCACATTTTGTCCTCTCCTCTTATACATAATTCTACGCGATCGACATCGTTCCCTCTGCTCGAAGTTTGGCTGTGTGAACATCAAAACGTGAGGACTGTAGCTACCCGCGGCCCATGCTCAATATTCGATAGCCAGTAAAACTGTAAGTATTCTAAAGATTATCACATACAAAATGGCACGTTCGAACTGCGTTATTGTCCCAGACAACAACATAGCAAACGCATTCACGAAACCACCGCCACGCCCACGCCTCCAGAAACTTAGAACGATGATGGGACTCGGTCCCGCTCGAGGAGGAGCGTTGGAATAAAAGAATGTCATGTGATAACAAGCGAGACCGATAGACAGAAGAGCCAGTGACAGGGGAAGTCGCCCGATGTCAAAGTTACATCTTATTCTTCGCAACTTATCAATTTTTCTTGCAATAAAGAACCACTCGTTGTCGAACGAATTTCATCTGTCCTTGTCATAGGAGACTGAGATAATTCTACTAGAGATCCTCTTCGTCCGTCTGCTATAATCTTTAGATTTCCAATCGGTCTAGACACAGTCGGCTTTGCCAGTGATCAGCTAGACGCAGTCCAACCGTCACAGTTCTCCACTACTCGCATGTCTCGACTAACGCTGTGAGATTCTCTGCAGTGGACAAACTTCTTGAGCTTCCAAAACGAACCCCAGCTCCTGCTTCAAATTCCGATAAAGCCACTGCTCTTGTGTCGAAGGTAATGTCAGGTGTGCCGGGAGAGTGGCTGCAAGAGCTCCTTCAGCTTGTTGGGCGACAGTTCACGATCAACCGCTGCGGCAATGACATACAGCTTCGGCAGGCAGTACACATCGTAAGTTTTGAAGTGGATATCTCGGCGGGCAGGCAAGAATTCATCAAGCATGGTAGAAAAGGCTCATATTTCCTCCCCTGCAAGGATGCGCTGCATGCAACCGTCCCAGGTCTCGAATGAGTGTTGCTCAGCAAACGCTGGATGGAAGTAGTTGGTGATGCGGATGGCTTCGTTATCAGCCTCCAAACGTTCATGAAGAAGATTGTACGCTTCGTGTAGGTCGTCATCGCGTGCTCGACCCTTATTAATCTCCTTTCTTAACTTTTGCAAACCAACCATTGTTGGCAGCCATGACCGGTCCTTCTGGAACGTACCGCTCCATAAGATGAAGGATCTGCTGAGAAAGGTCTCCACACTTGGCCACAACCATCTCCTCGATCCCTAGCGCTATAGACGTCGTTGCGTTTTCCTCAACCACACAACCGGACCGCCCGAGCCGCTACGTTATGTTTTGAACTCCGCTAGGTCCTAACAAGCGCGTACTCTTATTCCAACAAGCACATATTGCATGTCCTAATATAGAAGGAACGACTATCTTCATTCTACTAGGGTCTGCCTACGGGAGACTATATGTATGTTATATATCGACCGTCATATATCTATAGGTCAGCTAGTGGAGGTTAGTCGTTAGTCACTAAATATCAAACTATTGTAATAACCGCAGTAGGTGTATCAAGCCAAGACTTTATATCGCAGTAGGGGGCTTCATCGTCTTCGTAGAACCTCCCATCAACCTCGAACTTGCCCACGCGGCGGAACTCTCCTGCACTCACTGCAGGAACGACAATCAAGCCCGCCAGGTGACCTGGGTTCTCGCTGTTGTCAGACCCGATTATTACAGCTTTGCCCTTGTCAGCTCCTACCCCTTGGCCGTTCTCATCATAATCAAAATACACATATCCGATGTGTCGTTCTCGCACCTTGGAAGGCGTGGCAACAACTTGAACTTCGCTGGATTGGCATGCTTTAGAGAAGTCTATCGATTCCATGTGATCAGGCTCTCTTTCGCAGGCTACGGATAGTGTGTTGATAGTTTTGGATTCCCCTGTCGATGCCACAACAATGGCCGCATTGATTGAATCGTCATGGACATCGGATGGCACGGGTTCTGCCTGAACATAGTTTCCATTGGCAATATCGTTGCCGGAAGTTTGGCTTGGGCTTGCAGGCCGCTCTGTAGGTGCGTTTTCGTCGATGCCAGTAACATGCGCGTTTTTCCGATGCCTCAGACATGGCATCAACTTTGAGAATAAATTTGTCATGAAGGAACGTCCAATATTTCTGAGCTTCAATCCCATTCCGTTCTGGTACGTCTCAGTACCAGCGTGTTCTACCAGAGAAACAGGAGTGAGCTCGGTATGGTCGATGTTCTTGATTTGTTCCTTCTCAATTGCTAGCCCTGCACCGACAGTGGTCTCATCCACCTCAGCAACTGGAATAGGCGCCATCTCAAGTTCGCCAGTATTGTGCTCTCCAGGCAAGTTGTCATTCATCTTCTCCGCCAAAAGACAGGGTTGCTTCAGCTCGAATAGCTCCGGCTCCGTGGGGTCCCATGTCACATCTTTGACGATAGCTCTGACAATCAACTTCCCACCCTTCACCTGGCCAAGTGGGTGATTGTCGGAAACTGAGATCGCTTCACATAATTGCACATCCCATAGGATGTTTCTTGCAGTTCCTTTTGTGTCTGACCCAGCAACAACGCGTCCAATAGTGGCAGCCCAAGACCACGATGGTGCAAGATACTGTCCTGTAACGAGTCGCCCTTGAGACGGTTGATGTCTGTACCACAGGAGGTCTGTAGACAGATTGCGTTCCCACAGCCCCGCGATATATCGATTGCTGCTTCCCCACCAACGCTGGAAAAGCTGAGCAATCCCTGAAATCGCCACGAGCCTGTCAGAGGGATACGAAACAGCGCGTTGTGTATAGTCACGTAGAACATCCTCCCAGGCAGCCAACAGCACTTGCACGTCATCGCTCGAAGGCGTGCTACATGGCGTGCGCGATATCATCATATCTGGCAATCGCAATTCACCCAGTTCCGTCGAAGGAAGATAATGCCAGATGTCTCCGATATCGCTCATTGCCGTCTGGCACTGATACTGGAGAGTATGTGAAGCATATACCAAAGTCCTAGGGGAAAGGACACGCTCTTGAAAACACCAAGCTCGGAGATTCACTGGTTCCTTATTGGGCCTGGCACTCTCATCTTCGTCCACTGAGATAGTGCCAAGCCTCCCGTCTGGGCACCAGAATGGCAGTGGTGTTTCAACTGGTCGTTTACGATCGCGGAGAAATCCTTCGCTGACTTTCTGCGAGCTGGCTGCGATAATAGTCACGTATGCATCTCGGTATATGTCGCACATGTGTGGAATCTCGCGCTGCTTATCTTCGTCCGAGTCTTGTAAAATGCACAAGCTATCGGTCCAAAGATAGCGAAGATTGAGATTGTGGGTGCAAACGATGGCATCTTTGATGGTTTGCGGGAGAAGTAGAATGTCAATGGCTTCCAGATAGGTGGAGAGTTTGGTGGTACAGGTGCTGTGTGGTTGCGGTTCACCCCAAACGTAACTAAGCGCTGCATAAAAGCCTCGCATGCCCTTGGTGAGAACAAGCTTTGGCCGCTCGGGATTCGAGCAGTCCACTACGCGAGTCGGGAGGCTTGTTTCCCGAGCTTTCGGACAATGATGACGAAGCGTGCATTGTACAAGGCAGTCTGAAGCAAGTTTAAAGGCCCAAGGAGATGCGACCTGCCATATCAGCTTTCTGCCAGGAACGAATGCAGCCGCATTATCGTCTAAATCAGAAACACAATTTCGTCATATTGCAGGACGGCATAAGACACTGCGTACCTGGGTCACACTGCACTTGGTATACGGCCGGCCAGTCGTCCTCAACGATGACTCTAAGGACAATATGATCTTCCGAATTCCGCTTTTGGAACCGTACAGTTATTTTGAATGTCTCCTCTGGCATGGGACAATCCTTTTTCTTGTGGCGTTGATACCAAACAGGGATCTCACCCCAGAGAATATCACACCAATTACATCCCTTGTTTTCTCCAACATCAATCTCCTGCCAAGTTTGGGTAGTGTATGAAAAGCCTGCATTAGAATCTAATGAGTCCTTCGCAGCCCATGCGATCTGAAATGACTCGAATTCAAAAACTGTGCTCGAGCAGTGATCGCAGACGAGGGAACCGTTGCGCAATCCCATGATTACTACAGAAGTTCGGTCAATATCGATAAATTTTAATGAAATCCATTGCATACTCTTTTGCTTTTCACAATATCAGGGGAGCTCACAAGTAGGAGTAATGGCGTGAGCACTGAGCAGGGTAGTGACTGCCAGCCCAACACAAAACGACAGGATGAACATTCAACGCACGATGAACGCGTGGTAACATGTGTATTGATATTTGGGGCATGATACTTGAAGGCTGAGGCCTAAGCGGTTAGCGGTGAGACTTCAGTGAATGAGATGAAAATTAGCTTCTAGTATGGCTTTTATGGATCACCTCAATCGTCTCCGGCGCCCAGGCCTGCACGTCGATCGCTGCCAGTGGTACGGTTGACAAGTCACTTTTATCAACAGCTGTTGAAAATACGTGTTATCAACCATTATTAAATTTTGAGTGATCGCCCTTCTTCTAACGGGCTGACCATAGGAAGACTAGTTATTATAATAACTGTTTATAACGCTGTTGAAAAATATCCGCTTCCTAACTTCTGTTGAAAATGGCCGCGTGGGAAACTGCCAGGAACAGGAGGCCCTCCTCCTTTCAAGGCCACCGTCTAACTACAGGAGACTAAGTACTAGGAAATTGTAGGAAACTACGCCGACTAAGGACTTCAAGTAATGGCCAAACCGAGGATGGC